TTCTCAATCCACTATCCTATTTGAAGAAGTTGGAAAGCTGAAATTTACATTTCTCAGACTCCCTAACCACTCAAGTTCTAGGTGTAAATAAAATTTTGATGAATAGATATAAAAAAAAAAGGTATAAATGACATGGAAGCCATTGTCCTGCTGCTGTGGCCACTGGAAAGCAAGGTTTGATGACATGTGTTATGGATTGAATTGTGTCCCCAAAATATATGTGTTGTAAATCCTAACCTCTATGCCTATGGTTATAATTCCATTTGGGAATGAGTTGTCTTTGTTATGTTAAAGACACAGGATTAGTATAGGGTGTCTTTTGAGTCAATTTCTTACAAAATATAAAAGGAGCAGATTAAGGAAGCAGAAATGCAGGAAGAGAGATTTCAAGCAACATGAAGACTGTCCAAGAGCAGAAGCTCAAAGAAACAAGGACCTTCCCCCAGAGCCAACAGAGAGAAAGCCTCCTCACAGAGCTGACACCTTGCATTCAGACTTCTAGCCTCCTCAAATATAAGAAAATAAATTTGTTAAAGCCACCACTTGTGGTATTTCTGTTATAGCAACACTGAAGAACTAAGAAAATATGTTTGTGACATCCAGATATGTCCTCATATCAGCTTTGTGAATGTGAGAGCCAGTTGTGGCAATGTCATATTATCAGCTTCCCATCTCAGTTATATCATGTTTGAAATAGCTAGAAAGGTTTCCAATCCCTACAATGAATGCAGACTGAATCAAGTGTGTGGTGGTAGTTTTCTGTCCAACTACCTCTTCGGATTCTCCACCCTTCTCTGCCTACTCTTTGCCCCAGGAGGTTGTTTCCTCTGAACTGAATCTGCTAGGTTCCTTTGCTCTCTAGCTTTGGCTGGTTTTGGATCATGGGGAGGCATCCGCAGGAGATCAGAAGTTAGGAGGAAAGAGAGATCAGGTTATTTATCTTCCCTTTCTTCCTCCTCCTCACCAGACTATAGATCCCTTACCCTACCAGAGCTCTTTACCCTCAATATCTGTAGAGTCCTTTCAGTAAACACTTAGAGTGTGACATCTGTTTCCTGCACGGATCCTGACTCATACAAGGTGTTTAATAATCAAATCATGAGTCTAAAAAACAGTAACAGATGGTCTCCCTTCTTCCAGTTTCACTGCAGCTGCAGATCTTTGTAAAATGCAAATCTGAATACATCATTCCTCTGAGTTAAGCCTTCGATGGCTCCCTATTATACCTCTATTACCATCCCCACTCTAAATTCCAGCCACATTGAACTACTTTCAGTTCCTCCTGTGCTCAGTCTCTTCTTCTGAGCCTTTGCACACGCAGAACCTTCTTCCTGGAAACTCCTCCCCACCCCCACTCTTATTTAGGCTTTAGCTCAAATGTAACCTCAGAAAGCTTTCCAAAACATCTTATTTTGGTTAGATGTTCTCATTGCACGCTCCCACAGCAGCCTCTATTCACCATATGTATAGTATGCACTGCCTGTTTACATTATCTGTGTCCTCTGATAAGGCTGTAGGTAAGATCTAGGACAGGGACTGAATGTTTGATCTCCTGTCTACCTATTGAAGTATTTGGTATATAATAACTAAAATGCAGCCACTGCAATGGCATCAGAATAGGCATTCAATAAATATTGGTCAGTTCCTCCTGAATGTTATTCAAAAAGCTTGAATAACTCTAGTTACTGTCCTAATTTCATTCACTGACAAAAATCAGAGAAATAATTTTCAGTCACACACTCCTCTGTCCTATCTCCCACTCCCTTCCCAGGCTATTTTACCACTACCTTTTATGGAGACTTTCTCTGGCCAAGTGACCTCCTACTTCCCCAATTCAGCAGCTTCTTTTCAGTCCAAATCCACCGGGATCTCTCTGTACCACTTCCTTGAAATTCCCTCCCCTGCCTCCCAGGGTTCATGGCTCTTTCTTACTCTCTAACATTGCGGTTACTCTGCTTCCATATCCATGTTTTCTTCCACTTGTTTATGAGCCCCTACTGGGCAATCTATTTCTGTAGTGATACCACCCCGGAAACCCAAGGAAGGGTCGTTTATGAGTCAATCCGACTGGACAGCAGTGAGGTTTTTGTTTTTTTTGCTTGTTTGTTTGTTTGTGTTACCCATTTATATCTCTAGACCCCGAACAGTCCCTGGCACATACCAGTACCAGTTGCCATTGAGTTAATTCTGAATGACCCCATGTGCAGCAGAGCAGAATTGTTCTCCATGAAGTTTTCACTGGCTAATTTTTTGAAAGTAGATCTCTAGGCCTTTCTTCCAAGGCACCTCTGGCTGGGCTTAAACCTTGATTAACAATGTGTTAACCATTTGCACTATACAGTGAGTCTGCCTGGCATATAGTAGGTCTTCATAACTAGTGTTAAATGATTAAATCTCTCTTGACTTCCAGGCCATCACTCTTTCTTGAACAGTTTTCAAACATCTTCAAAAAAGGAAAAATTCCTTTTCCTCAGTTTACCCATTAAATGTTCCTCAAAATAACTCATTGATCATCTCCCTTGGGGTTGCAGCCATTGGTCAGTATTCTAATTGCCAAATGCATATTTTCAATCTTACCTTTCCACGTGAGCACCAGACCTCTGTCTCCACCTACCTATAGGACCTCTCTACCTAAATGTCCTATGTTGTTGTTATGTGCCGTCGAGTCAGACCGATTCATAGTGACCCCTCCTCGGGTTTCCGAGGCAGTATCACTACGGAAGTAGACTGGCCAACCTTCCTTCCAAGGAGTGGCTGGTGGGTTTGAACCGCCAGCCTTCTGGTTAGCAGTCAAGTGCCTTAGGCATTACGTTACCAGAGGCAGCTCAATTAGTTCCATTCTCTTCCATTGCCAACCTCCTCTCCTGCCTTCTACTGCTCAGCCAGTAGAATTAACATCCATTCAGTAGGCCAAGCTGCACACCTCAAAATCCCCTTAACTTTTCCCACAGCTTTACCCCTTTGTCCTGCTTCGCAACAAACTTCATCCACTAATAATTCCTCCCCACAACTCCTAAATCGTGCCTCTGGGTCTTTTCCTGTATCTTCTACCTAGAGTACCTCCCACTTTGTCCCAAATCCTATTCATTCTTTGAGAATGAATAAAATGAAATAATTAAAATAAATACATAATAAAAGGACGGGACCATAGTTTTAAAACAGACACATTACATAACTAAATCAACATACAGTGAAACCCGTGAGAGCTGGAATTCCATGACACTGCCTTGTTTTTCCAGGAGTTCTGGTGGCATAGTGGGTGAGGCATTTGGTTGCTACCCAGAAAGAAGGTTGGAATTTCAAACTCCCTAGCTGTTCCGAAGGAGGAAAATGAGGCAATCTACCTCCATAAAGATTTACAGCCTTGGAAACCCAGTGAGGGTCGCTATGAGTTGCAATCAACTGGATGGTAGTGGTTTTGGTCTTGGGTTTGGCTTGTTTTTCTTGGTCTCACACCTTCGACAGTCTTGCCACTTTTCTATCACTATTGGGGGAAAAAAAAAACCCCTAACCCACTGCCATCAAGTCGATTCCGACTCATAGCGACCTCCATTGGCTTTCCAAGGCAGTAAATCTTTATAGATTGCCCCCATCTTCCTTCCAAAAAACAGGTGGTGGGTTTGAACCACCAACCTTCTGGTTAGCACTCAAATACCCCGGGCACGATGCACCAGAGCTCCTTATCTATGGCTAGTAGTGGAATATATTTGAGTTTTCCTTCTCTGACAGGTTTCTGTCTTACACAGGTTCCAGCTTTCGCAGGTTTCACTGTATATTGTAACTGTATTTACTTGCCCTGTTATAAAAATAACAAACCCATTGATACTTGCCCTATAAAACCAAAAAAAAAAAAAAAAAAGGCAATTCAGACCCATAGTGACTATAAAACCAAAAACTAAACTCCCTGCCGTCTAGTCTGATCCGACTCTTAGTGACCCCTCCTTGGGTTTCCAAGGCAGTATCAATACAGAAGTAGATTGCCCAACCTTCCTCCCCAGGAGTGGCTGCGTGTTTGAAAGGCCAGCCTTCTGGTTAGCAGTCAAATGCCTTAGGCATTACGCCCCCAGAGCTCCCACTTCTGTAAAGCATAGCCTTGGAAATGCTTCGGGTTAATTAGTTCTACTGTGTCCTATACAGTTGTGAGTCAGAATCGACTCAACGGCAATGGGTTTGCATTTTTTGGTTTGGTCCTCCATCCTGGTGAGAGGAATTAGATAAAGTAAACGAGAAAAAACTCCAATATCTCCTTTCCTGGACACAGAATAGGCCCCCAACACATTTTAACCTTTTTCCTTTTTCTTGCCCCACCTTTATTTTATATTTTAAGTATATTCAGAGTATCTAAAGGAGATGTTGGTTTTAGGATTTCAATTCGACGAAAACAACACAGAGACTCGGCTTGACCCGGTTAACCCTGACTCTCAAGCCCAAAGA